ATGGGACACCAAAGAAGGTGATCTCGGATAGGGGAACACAGTTTGTGTCCAAGTTCATGCAGGAAGTCTCGAAACGACTAGGAACCAAGTGGTCCATGTCAACAGTGTATCATCCACAGACTGACGGACAAACAGAACGAGTCAATCAAGAAGTCGAACAGTACCTATGACTCTTCACATCCTACTGTCAGAATGATTGGGTTTCTTGGCTTCCAATTGCTGAATTCACACATAACAACTCAGTAACCATCACTGGACATTCCCCATTCAAATGTGTCTATGGCTATAATCCTGAGTTTACGATTTCCCCTAATTATTCCAACACAATTCCCCATGCCAATCAGAGAGTAGCTGAGATGAAGGAAGCACAAGAAGAGACGAAGGCAATGCTGGAAATAGCGAATGATCGAATGAAGCGCTTTTATGACCATAAAGTAAAAGATGCACCAAAATTCAAACCAGGTGACAAGGTATGGTTAGACGCAACAAACATCAAACAATGCCATCTGAGCCAAAAATTGTCCGACCATTGTCTTGGACCATTCAAAATTGAAGAGAAGACTGGCGAGCTAAACTACAAGTTGAAACTCCCTGTTAAATATCGCGTCCACCCAGTTTTCCATGTATCATTACTCATCCCACATCAAACCTCTCAACTCGTTGATTGCCCACCGCTAAAGTGTCCATCGCTGGAGATTGTTGACCAAGTCCCAGAATATGAAGCAGAGCAAATATTGCAAAGCCGCCTATACAGGCGCAAGTTGCAGTATTTAGTAAAATGGAAAGGATATGCAGAAGCAGAAGCAACATGGCAGTCAGAAGAAGATGTGAAGAACGCGCCACTCATAGTAGCCGATTTTTATGCAGAAAACCCCAACACGGTTAAATCAGTGCGGATCTCCGCTTCAATTCTGACAACCCCTGATTTCCTCGAATGGAGACAGAAAAATATATGACCATCTTACATTCGCGAAGACGCTCATCCTAGAAAGGGGGTAATGTCACGAACCCCAAATACGAACCATTTTTCATTTCTCGGTTTTCCTTCGGCTACTTCCAGTACCCGAGCCGGTCACGTGACTCCTCGTCATATATCACCCGTTGCTTCTCCGATTGGCTCCCCTACTCCACGGGCTAGAACAATCTTGCTTCCTAAAGAAGAACCGGTCGGATCTTGGGTTTCTATTTAGTAACTGTCTTACTCATTCGCTTATATATCATGATGTCATACTTAGTCATCCGCAGTATCGTACAACTCTTTTCTCATTGGCTGATTTCTTTCAGACTCCTATTCAATGTTATGTATATAAGTAGGTTAGTTAGTGTAAGTACTCCTTAGACTTAACCTCTTCATTTCCTACACTTGTAGTGACCTAGACGTTTATGCTCAATACCATCTTGTTCATTTTCCTCTTGACCGAGTCCTAGTGGTTGTGCGCTCGCCTTCATCATTATTGGTGAACATTGGTCATAACAGGAGGTGGTCGGAAAGCGGAGCAGATATTGATATCGGAGCGGTGTGGGTACAACAAGTGCAGCAGCAATAAATTGATCTACCACACAGTTGGGTCTTTGCTGCCTGCTGCCTCACTTGAGAACAAGCACGTTCAACCCTAAAGGGGATTGCTACTGGGGAGTGCTAATCTCTGTCTAAGCGACCCTAATCAACCCTACCACAGGTAGGATGAGGATCCGCAAAAATGCGGAACAAGCAGAACTCAAGCAGAACAAGCAGAACTCAAGCGGAATGAAACAGAATGAAGTGGAACTCAAACGGATACAATGCGGAACGTACAGATTCGTCAGAACTTGCGGGTCAAGTCGAAGGAAGTATATCACAAGGTTGGATTGATAGTGGGCATAAGTCAAAGTGGTCCTCTAGTAAGGTGAAGGAAAAGTGGGAAGGTAAAAGATGGGATTCAATAAAAAACACCCAAGCCCTGAGTACCACTACTTAAAGGGAAGATTATTTTCAAGGAACACTGAGGTACAGGTAGTAAACTTCTCAGGAAGCGGAAGTGAAGGCAGGCAGTGCACATGGGCGCAATACTCCGGAATAGGGGTCCATGCCATAAGGGCATGTATCAGTGTGATCTGGATAATGTTAGGAACAATGGGAAGAGAGATACAGCGTACCAATGGACCTGGAAGGATGGGGACAGGACATGCGAAGGTTGTCCAACAATGCGTGGGAATACCAGATAGTGCGGGCGGGTTCCGAAGGATGCATGGGAATGCGGAACCCATTGGACGATGCACAGGAAATGCGGAACATGTGGAATACACGGAACTGATGTGAGATGATGTGGAAAGGATGGGGTTTTATGCCTACAGTGGGGGAATTCCCCACAGTGGTCGGATCAGGTATATGACATGTTCCCACAGAGTTGGTTGATCTGTCACAGGGGCCATGTGTGCAGAAAGCAGCACCAGGCTTGGTCCATCAAAGCGCTGAAGTACTTGTGCTGTCATTGCACCACCAAATGAAGAGTCAAAGACTGCAGCAGTGTTAAATGTCTTCCCAGAGTCTGTTTGATTTGTCGTGAGGGCCACATGTGCAGAAAGCAGAGCCAGGCTTCGTGCATTGATGTAGTAATAGAGTCAGGCCTGTAGTCTTCGTGTACTGCCAAAAATGTGGAAAGAAACAGTGAAATTTGGTGGGAGATGAGAGCTCATTGTGGTAAACAATGAGTGTGTTGTTTGGCAGGCATTGGCGGCATTGTTTGTATTGGTGTGATTGCCAAAATGGGCATGGGAAAGACATACCGGAAAGAGAAGTAAAGGCTGTTGGAGAAAACACGCATAAGTGACTGAAACCAGCTGGGGCGCACCACCAGTGCTCCATATGAATGCAGATGAACTTAATTAAGTGGCAGAAAGAGTGCCATTAAGCCACTTAACTAATTCAGATATGTGGGAATCATAGGTGGCCACAAATGAATACAACAGCACTATCATGACAACAATGGCGACTCGACAACACACAACACAACAACAACAACAACATGACAACAATGAACAGCTATGATAATGACTATGACTATGAAAACAACCTGTTCTCTTGCACTCTTGCACTTTAACTGTCTCACACCCTTACTCACTGTTTGCATTGATGAGTCCAGTAGAGTAGTTGCTTATTTTGCAATCCATTTGTTTTCATTTAATTTTACACATTTGACTTGAGTTAATATAAAAACAAAAAAGTGATTTCTAATATATTTGGAAGGTTCTGTGTAACTAGAGGGCTACTGTGGAGCTCTTGGAAGCTCTGTACAGACCATTGTAGTTTACTGATGTGTGTCATATACTAGATCCAACCACTCTGATGATATCAATATTCGCTCCGCCCAACTATATCCTTTCCACTCTACCCTTTGTCCACTCCACTTGTTCCCCGCCCTAGCACTTCCACTCAACTGCCTCATTGGTTACCTTCTGCATAGGTTCCATTCAACTGGAACCTCTTTCCCCATTTAGATATATACTTTCCCCTTTGGCACATAACTCCTACTTCCCAGATCACTGGTATTTCCTATAATCACTCAATTATTGATCTGTTGTGTACACACCGATATCCGCTGTAGGGAGTTATGTTACTCTGGGCTTGTATTGATGGTTTTTACTTACTTTCCTTAGTTTATGTACGCATTTTTACTGCTTATGTAAACAATCAATCTTCTTGAGCCACCACCATGAGCAGCACTCTTTTGATTCAATTTTCTCTCTGAGCACTACCTAGCTCTAGTCCAGAAACCCTCTAGGGTCGAATGCACCTCCTTGCAGGTATAGCAGCAGGCAGCAAGACCCAACTCTTTGCGAGTCGCTGTAGATGCTATCTGAGAAGAGAAGAGTATCATTGCTACTCTTAAGACATTATGGCTAGACTACTATGATGTGAACTACCTGAGCAACTTGGGCAAAAGCACGCAGCACTTTCCGATCCCGATCCACATATCCTGTGATAGAAAAGGTGAGCTGCGAAGGGTGGGTGGGAACAGAACCCTCGCAGGCCTAAGTGAACAGGCAATGGTCGCAGTCCGGATCACTGAAGAATGTGTGCAAGAAGTGATATCTGACCTCTGTGTTGAAGATGTCACGGGTGAAAAGGGAGCGGCGGGTGGGGAAAAGAAAAGAGAGGAAGAGAATTGTCGCGGATGACTGAGCTGATGAGATCGACAGATGTGGTACGAGAACAAGAAGGAGGGTACCGCATCTGTCGCTTGCGCAAAGACCAAATTCTATTCCTCTGCTCGTGTCTCGTTACGTAGTAGAATGACAAACTTTCTGCACCCAGCAGAATTGTAGTACCCACACTGCTCCAACTTATGTTTTCCTCTGTGGTAATACTTACAAATTGTATACTTAGCACATAGCCTTATGCTATGAACTACTGATCACTGCCTCCTTACTTAGATAGTTTCCTCAGTCTTAATATTACTTGCCTTCCCTCAGTTTCTGCTGGTGGGAATTCTCCATAGGACTTTGCTCACTTTTGACACAAGTCTCACCTTGTCATCACCTCTGCTCCGACTTAGAGCCATGCTCTAAGTTAAACTACTCTTACTTCCCTCTACACCATAAACCAATCCCCTTGTCCCTTTCTGCTCCAACTTACCCACCCATCCTATCATCGAACAATGTCAGTCCCACTCCAAATTCAGGGCATGTACTACTCAGCTAAGGGCGCAGTGCAAGAGCTGAATCCAAGCCCTGACCCCTCCACTTCTCCATCTGAGCACGGTACCTAACAATGTGCAGCTGCTTCAGTCTGGATGAAGATAGTTGAATCAAAGGTTCCAATCAACTCAATTGTAGCACTCAGCAGCAAGAGCTCCATGTTCCCATACAAGGATCTTAATGGTAAGTCTCACAGTGGCATCCCAGCAGTACATCCTTTTAATGATGATGTTTTTTTACTTACAGGCTCAGATGCTCTTGTTTGTGTTGCTGGAACTATCATGCTGGCAGCCTCAGGACACAGAAAGGGAGTGACAAGCACTTGCCCTCTATGTGGCGAGGCAACAAAAGATCTGTGCTCACATATGGGTGGCCACATCCTTCACACTGCCTGCAGAGTTCCTGAGAATCTCACAACAGCTGTTTCAGGCCCACAGCCATGTGGCTTTTGCAGTCGTTCTGGTGTCACTGAGTGCACAGTTACCTTCAAGGAATCCAGACATTCAGTTACTTGGGAATCACAATGCCCACACAAGGAGAATTTCCAGTACAGCAGCACTAACAAAGGCTCCAACAATTGCCCATGTCACAATGTTCCTGTCATCTGCAGGCTTTGCATACATCAAAACTGTCAGACAGACTGGAGGCCAGCAATTTGGAGGTACAATCTTGAGGCCCACATGAATGAGCATCACCTGGAGTATGTGCACCCTGGAAAACCTCATAGCAGCCTCCCCCTTCCTACCAATATATTTGACACTCCTGTTGAACAAACAAGGTTGGGTGTTCTGCTTTGACCTCTATTCACCCTAACTGTCCTAAATTTGGAGAAGGAGAATATCCCAGCCAGTCCAAGTGGTCAAAAGTGCAAGGGTGATGCTCAAATATTTTCTGCTGCTGCTTCTTTGAAGAAGGCCTTGTGCACTTAGCCTTAGATTTCTTTTCCATGTTGTCATTCCTTCCTACTACTTACATGGTTACCCCTCATGACTCTTACAACTTACAGGCTCTGTTTTTGCAACATTTTCATCATGTTTTCATTATGCTTTCACTATGTCTAGCATGTGTGCTCTTGCATCTCATGTATTGTAGCAGTTTTCTGGGTCCTTGGTTCCTCAATCGTGTTTGATCATTTTGCATTTCTAAGTGACAAAACATAACTAAGTAAGGAAATTTGCACTGTGACATTTGACAGTCACAGTACTAGTACCACCCATGGAATTTCAACATGTCAGTGTCTTGATTCTCTGTATTGCACACCTCTTGAGCCCTCAAGCAGTTTCTGTAAATGTCACACAATAAACTGTGATGAAGTTCTCGCAATGAGAGGCTTAGAGTGAGTGAGAAACAGGAGCTGATAAGGAATATATATCTCAGTCTCAGGAAACAGACTCAGTAGTACAACTGTAGTAGTACCTGATAAGAAATATATCCATGGGTATTGTCATATACCTGATCCGACCACTCCAATATCAATATCCACTCCACTTTCCAACCACCTCCGCTCCATCTGTCCTCCGCTCCATCCAATCATCATCCGCATCCGCTCTTACGCTTCTGCTCGACCGCCCAAACGGTCCCCTTCTATAATGTCTCCATTCAACTGGAACCTCTTTCCCTGTTTAGACATATACTTTCCCCTTAGGTACATAGACCCTTACTTCCGGATCACCAGTAATTCCTCTTACCGCTCGATCACTGATCTGATGCATACATATTGATATCTGCTCTGACTTATGTCTTTGCCTGTGTAAGTACTTACAAATTATATCCTTGGTACATAGCTTTACAACATAGTTATCCTGACCACTGCCTCACACTTAGAAGTATATAACATATCCTGTACTTAGATATTTTCCTCAGTCTTAATATTACTTGTCTTTTTGCAGTTTCTACCTGTGAGAATTCTCAGTAGGACCTTGCCTCCTCCAGACACAAGTTTCATCTTGTTGTCACCTCCAACCCTCCGCTCCGACTTAGAGCCATGCTCTAAGTCTTTCCCCTTACTTCTCTGTCTCTATTAATAATCCCCCTTTGCTCCTATCCACCCTCTGCACTATCCTCCACCTTCTCCGCTCTACTCCTAGTCAGCCCACCGCTAGTAGCTCTTACCTCCCAACCCTCAAAGCAGTCCAAAGTGGTCCACTCGTCCTATTGTCGGACAATTTCGGACCCGCTCCAAGTTTGGGGCATGTACTCAGCTAAGGGCGCAGCGCAAGAGCTGAAGCCAAGCCCCAACCCCTCCACTTCTTGAGCCTGGCACAGTACCTAACAGGTATGTTAGCTCTAGTTGTGACATAAAGCGGGGACTTTGACTTACATCTCAATCTTGGGAAATGGACTGAGATGTTCGGTCTGACAACTCATGGTTTTAAGGTAGTTAGCATAGTGATAAGTAATAAACTGTAGCATAGAAAAATAGACTGTCACTTATTAGATTCTTGTACTGACGTCACTTCATTGCATGCTGTGCAGTTGGCTAGCGCTTGCAATGTCTCACTCTGACATCTCCTGTTCAGACTTCAATCCAGACTTCAACACTCCCCCTCGAGTGCTATCCAGGCTCATTAGCCCACGCAACTTCTGGAGCCATGGGCATGGTAAGGCCTTGGTAAAGGTGTCAGCAATATTATTGTTGGTAGGGCAGTAGGTGAGTGTGAACATTCTGTTTTTGACATGAGCACAGATGAAATGATAATGTAGATCAATATGCTTGGTTTGAGATTGGAACTTGTTGTTCAAAGCTAGTGCAATTGTGGCTTGGTTATTGCAGTATACTGGGGTAGGGACTCCGAGTGGGTGGGTCATACAGCTCTTCAATGAGCAGCTGTAAGTACAGTATCTCTCTCGCAACCATCGTTAAAGCAATATATGCTGCTTCAGCCATCAAAAGTGCTATTAAGGGCTCCTTGCATGCACTCCATGCGACTGGTCCACTGTTCAGCAGGATGATGTATCCGGACATGGAGTGGCAATGCAGCTGTGAAGCCCAATCCACGTTGATGTATGCCTCTAATCCCACGTCTGTCACACCTAGGGTAAGTCCAAGGTCAGCTATTTCTGTATGATCCTTGCTATGAAAAGACTTAATATATGTACTAGAAGGTAAATATAAGCAGTTTGCATAGTTTATCCAAGAGTAATATAGTGAAAAACCTCAAAAATGCGAAAATATGCCTCTGCATAGGTAGCAGGAGATATTTCATTGTAGGGAGGGATCCTGATGCTATTCCAACATAGCTATATAACTAGAATACTCTTAATGTCAATAGGAACAAGTACCCTACCATCCTGGAGGGCCAGGGAAAAATAAGGCCTGGGATGGGTTCATATATGTTTGCAAACATTTTCTAAACACTCTAGAATAATCCAATACCAAAGGGTCAAAATTGCGAAATTGCTTTTGATATGTTTTCTATTATGTCACACTTGCAGAGGCCCTGTAGCAGGCATTGGTACAAAAATATACAGAAAAAGCGGTCTATTATGTTCTATTATATGTATATAACCTATAATACTACTTACTTACTAGCTGTACCTAACTGTGGTGTGATGGTGAGCTAGGGATGGACTGGGGAGGGTGTGGGAAAGGTTCATATTGTGGAGATACCCAAAATGGGCTATGTTTTGGGTGTTGTGGGGAAGTTCCCATGGCAGATGTGACTAAAAATGCGAACATGTGACATTGTAAATGACTGTCCTAGGGCACAAAATGAGGATCCACACTGATTAGTATCAGCCAGTGCTGGTATCTGCTGGGAGGATCTGTACTGATACGTCACTCCCAGAGACTGACTGACTAGAGCATTTATGTATCACCATTCCAATGATAAGGTCAGTGTTAATACATCAGAATGACACCAGCAGGTGTTAGTGCTGCAATGTGCTTCAAGCCTTGTAAAAAATGCAATGGCTCTGGAGGTCAAATCAAACCGTGGCAACACTACGGGTTAAGGGGCTTCAAGGTGTTCTTCCTTCCGAAATTTCATTGCGAACTAAGTTTTATTGAACAATGCTGGGGGTATGCATTATCCGTCCATCCGATAGGACAGGAAACGAGTCTAATCCGCAAGGCAAAATGAATAGACATGCGAGAAGGGATATAGACGCGTGCATGTCATAAACGGCCTCGAGTCTCTTTAGATCTACGATAAATGTGAGTTAGGGGCCCGGGTGAAGTTGCGAAAATGAATCAAGGATAGTGACGCTGGGCCAGCACCACCACTTGCTGCAAGATTATAGTCCAATACCTATGTGATTGTTTTGAAATGTGGACTTTTAGATGGATTGGGACTGATTGCAGGATGTGCAGCAGTCGAACTGGGCATCTTATGGCCATAGAAAGAAATTGGGTGTAATTTAGCTCGAACGTGTTGGATGAATTCCAAGGCGGTGTCAGCTGAGGGCCGTTCACTTGGTGATAATGACCAGCGCCGACGGATAAAGAGGGGGGACGGACAACGCGGAGTATTTCGTCGTTGGTTATGGCATTTCGACTATCGCAAACCAGACTGTCTGACATTGCTTGTATTACTTACATAGGTGCGTTCAAAAGTGTAACAAACGCTACGGCTTCTTCAACCAATGGACGATTGATACGAGGTGACCAGCATCGCTTTATGAACTCCCAGTGCGCTGGCTCTATCCGTGACTCCTTGGGAGGCTCTGGTTTCTTACCTCTGATGACTTGTCCCAACACTACATTGTCCTTCTTCACATTGTAGTAGGGTACCTTGCCAGTCAGTACCTAATAATAAAGCATGTACAAAGTGAATAAGATCTTTGGGTCGAAATTTCAAGCTACTAACCTGTAATGTGATACTGCCAAATGAGTAAATGTCGCACTCCGTGCTGAGCGACACTGGGGACGCCTCGTCTTCTTCTTCATCGTCTTCTGGTACTTCAAACAGCTCTGCAGCTGCCCATCGGATGTTCCCCTTGATGGAACTCGTGAAATACGAGGTGCCAATGAACTCCAAAATAATAGTCGAAAGACCAAAATCAGCAAGGCATGCTCGTCCGTTGCCATAAATCAAAACATTTGACTGAAAAGTCAATGGGACGTGAGTGAGGAGGGATATACCTTCTGTGTGTGGCCGTACGCACCCCTGTCAGGTCGCCATGAACAATTGATTTGCTGTGCACTGAACCGGTATCAGAGTGTTCAAACTCCAATGGTGAAAGACGACTAACGGTATTGCAATCCGAGGACGATGTCGTTCAGCTAGCGTGCGTCATCAGGTCAGCAAGCGGCTGGGAAATACTGGCGAAATGGCTTACAAGGGAGAACCGATCTTGACACGGCATGTCCTGTTGGCGCTCAAGAAAACCGGTGAGCATTCCATTCTCAGCCCATGGGCAAATCATTGCGGGATAGGGCCCAAAGTCGTTTGCCACTCCCCAAAGTGGAAGAATGCAATCATGTTTAAGACGGCTCCAAACTTTCAGCTCACGACGCACTCTCTAAGCCGAGTCATCACTCGATAAACTGACGTGCCATGGAAGAGAATATTACCTTCGTGTTTTTCCGTACTAAGGCCTTGTTATCGGACTCGAAAGCGCGAATGGTCTTCACTGCTACCTACGTCTTGGTCAGGATGATACGACAGGAAGTGTC